AGCAACCGCAAACGCTTACTGTTATATTAGTTCGTTTGCACAATATTAACAGCGTGCATCATGAAAGTAATGTAATTTACACAATCGTTCACAGAAGGTTACATTTAAATTAGCCCGTCTTTTCATAAAATTGCTGACATAAAGTTATTAAGCGATAGTTTCCCAAACAGAGTAGGGAACGTCAGCTTCATCAACTGTGAAAAATGAAACCGAGAGTTCAGTGCTTAAATATTCCAGTTATCAAGCAGTGATTGGCCAGACCTGTTTGTATGAATGAATGATGTGGCATTGGAGTCTTCCTGACAGAACTAACGCTGAAGCTTTCACTCCTTTTTGCTTTAATAAAGTGCAAATGTGCAAATGACCGTGCTGAAATGTGGGTGGTAAAGCTCAGCTAGTCAACTAAGACTTGCAGGTTCCTTGCTGTCCTGGTTGGCTTCAGGTGTTGCAGTGATGTTGTGGTCAAATGATGGGTTGGCAGGATTTACAAGAAAGAAAAAAAAGTGGTGGTTATTGCTTTTCTAGAGATCTTTGGTGACTACTGGTTGAAGAACCTTACTCTAATTTGCTGTCTTCTCAGCCCCATCAAAAACACATAGTTTAAATTTTAAACAAAACACTGGTCTTAGGCTCGTCAATATTTTGGATATCTTAAATTAAATATGACTTAAGAAAACATTGAAACAGAACCTAATTACTTTGTCAATTACTTCACTTATAGGTATGATGGCGGAAGGAAAACTTTCCTCACCATATGTGAGTAAGATTATGTTACATAATAAAATGTCTTAAAGATAAAATATAAGGAAAACATGTAAGGACTAATAACAATACATAAAAATAATAACTGAAATGTGAAACAAAGTAACTAATAAATTTTTTTTGAAAAAAAAATGAAATATCCCATTTTACAGTATGTATCTGGTGGATGGTTTACGGATGTACGGCAGTACTTGGTCAAACGACAGCCTATACCACAACACCAGTTACAACTACAGAAACTGAGGCTTCAACAGCAAAAGATGTGCAATCAACAACAACAACAACTCAAGATTTAACTTCAACACTACTTTCTAAAATCACAACAAATAAGGATCCAACAGGCACATCAACAGCGCAATCAAAAACAATTTATACAAGTACAACCATAATGGAAACAAAAACAACTTTGGATATGACAACCATGTCTGAAGCATCCTCATCTACAGCACCAAGGTTGACGACTGATGCAGCAACCACAAATATGCCTGACACCACAAAATCTACTGATGCAACAACAACTTTGACTTCAATAACCACCCGTGCAACATCCTCAACTTTAGCACCAGCATCAACAACAACTGATGCATCAACCACAACTCTGCCTGAAACCACAAAAACTACTGATGCAACAACAACTTTGGCTTCCACAACCACCCCTCTAACATCAACAACTGATGCAGCATCCACAACTCTGTCTGACACCACAACAACTACTGATGTAACAACAATATTGGCTTCCACAACCACCCCTCTAACATCAACAACTGATGCAGCATCCACAACTCTGTCTGACACCACAACAACTACTGATGTAACAACAATATTGGCTTCCACAACCACCCCTCTAACATCAACAACTGATGCAGCATCCACAACTCTGTCTGACACCACAACAACTACTGATGTAACAACAATATTGGCTTCCACAACCACCCCTCTAACATCAACAACTGATGCAGCATCCACAACTCTGTCTGACACCACAACAACTACTGATGTAACAACAATATTGGCTTCCACAACCACCCCTCTAACATCAACAACTGATGCAGCATCCACAACTCTGTCTGACACCACAACAACTACTGATGTAACAACAATATTGGCTTCCACAACCACCCCTCTAACATCAACAACTGATGCAGCATCCACAACTCTGTCTGACACCACAACAACTACTGATGTAACAACAATATTGGCTTCCACAACCACCCCTCTAACATCAACAACTGATGCAGCATCCACAACTCTGTCTGACACCACAACAACTACTGATGTAACAACAATATTGGCTTCCACAACCACCCCTCTAACATCAACAACTGATGCAGCATCCACAACTCTGTCTGACACCACAACAACTACTGATGTAACAACAATATTGGCTTCCACAACCACCCCTCTAACATCAACAACTGATGCAGCATCCACAACTCTGTCTGACACCACAACAACTACTGATGTAACAACAATATTGGCTTCCACAACCACCCCTCTAACATCAACAACTGATGCAGCATCCACAACTCTGTCTGACACCACAACAACTACTGATGTAACAACAATATTGGCTTCCACAACCACCCCTCTAACATCAACAACTGATGCAGCATCCACAACTCTGTCTGACACCACAACAACTACTGATGTAACAACAATATTGGCTTCCACAACCACCCCTCTAACATCAACAACTGATGCAGCATCCACAACTCTGTCTGACACCACAACAACTACTGATGTAACAACAATATTGGCTTCCACAACCACCCCTCTAACATCAACAACTGATGCAGCATCCACAACTCTGTCTGACACCACAACAACTACTGATGTAACAACAATATTGGCTTCCACAACCACCCCTCTAACATCAACAACTGATGCAGCATCCACAACTCTGTCTGACACCACAACAACTACTGATGTAACAACAATATTGGCTTCCACAACCACCCCTCTAACATCAACAACTGATGCAGCATCCACAACTCTGTCTGACACCACAACAACTACTGATGTAACAACAATATTGGCTTCCACAACCACCCCTCTAACATCAACAACTGATGCAGCATCCACAACTCTGTCTGACACCACAACAACTACTGATGTAACAACAATATTGGCTTCCACAACCACCCCTCTAACATCAACAACTGATGCAGCATCCACAACTCTGTCTGACACCACAACAACTACTGATGTAACAACAATATTGGCTTCCACAACCACCCCTCTAACATCAACAACTGATGCAGCATCCACAACTCTGTCTGACACCACAACAACTACTGATGTAACAACAATATTGGCTTCCACAACCACCCCTCTAACATCAACAACTGATGCAGCATCCACAACTCTGTCTGACACCACAACAACTACTGATGTAACAACAATATTGGCTTCCACAACCACCCCTCTAACATCAACAACTGATGCAGCATCCACAACTCTGTCTGACACCACAACAACTACTGATGTAACAACAATATTGGCTTCCACAACCACCCCTCTAACATCAACAACTGATGCAGCATCCACAACTCTGTCTGACACCACAACAACTACTGATGTAACAACAATATTGGCTTCCACAACCACCCCTCTAACATCAACAACTGATGCAGCATCCACAACTCTGTCTGACACCACAACAACTACTGATGTAACAACAATATTGGCTTCCACAACCACCCCTCTAACATCAACAACTGATGCAGCATCCACAACTCTGTCTGACACCACAACAACTACTGATGTAACAACAATATTGGCTTCCACAACCACCCCTCTAACATCAACAACTGATGCAGCATCCACAACTCTGTCTGACACCACAACAACTACTGATGTAACAACAATATTGGCTTCCACAACCACCCCTCTAACATCAACAACTGATGCAGCATCCACAACTCTGTCTGACACCACAACAACTACTGATGTAACAACAATATTGGCTTCCACAACCACCCCTCTAACATCAACAACTGATGCAGCATCCACAACTCTGTCTGACACCACAACAACTACTGATGTAACAACAATATTGGCTTCCACAACCACCCCTCTAACATCAACAACTGATGCAGCATCCACAACTCTGTCTGACACCACAACAACTACTGATGTAACAACATCCACAACATCCTCAACTTTAGCAACAGTGTCAACAACATCAGATGCAGCAACCACAAGAATGCCTGAAACCACAACAACTATTGATGCAACAACAACTTTGACTTCCACAACCAACCCTCCAACATCCTCAGCTACAGCACCAACATCGACGACTAATGAACTAACAACAACTATACCTGACACCACAAAAACTACTGATGCAACAACAACTTTGGCTTCCACAACCACCCCTCAAACATCTTCAAAAATAGCACGAGCATCAACAACAGATGCATCAACCACAACTCTGTCTGACAGCACAACAACTACTGATGCAACAATATCTTTGGCATCCACAACCTCCCCTACAACATCCTCAACTTTAGCACCAGGGTCAACAACATCAGATGCAGCAACCACAAGAACGCCTGACACCACATCAACTATTGATGCAACAACAACTTTGACTTCCACAACCACCCCTCCAACATCCTCAGCTACAGTACCAACATCTACGACTAATGAACCAACAACAACTATGCCTGACACCACAGAAATTAGTAATGCAACAACAACATTGGATTCCACAACCACCCCTTTAACATCAACAGCTTTGGATTCCCAAACCACCCCTCTAACATCAGCAACTGATGCATCAACCACAACTGTGCCTGAAACCAAAACAACTACAGATGCAAAAACAACTTTGGCTTCCACAACCACCTTTCCAACATTATCAACTGTGGCACCAACATCAACAACATCTGATGCAGAAACCACAAGTATGCCTGACACCACAACAACTATTCATGCAACAACAACTTTGACTTCCACAACCACCTCTCCAACATCCTCAGCTACAGTACCAACATCGACGACTAATGAACCAACAACAACAATGCCTGACACCACAAAAACTGCTGATGGAACAACAACTTTGGATTCCACAGCCACCCCTCAAACATCCTCAACAATAGCACCAGCATCAACAACTGATGCATCAACCACAACTGTCCCTGATAGCAAAGGAACTACTGACTCAATAACAACTTTGACTTCCACAACCACGCCTCCAACATCCTCAACTATAGCACCAGCGTCAACAACTTCAGATGCAGCAATCACAAGTATGCCTGACAGCACAACAACTACTGATGCAACAACTTTGACTTCAACAACCAACACTCCAACAACTTCAGCTACAGTACCAACATCAACAACTAATGGACCAAAAACAACTATGCCTGACACCTCAGAAACTACTGATTCAACAACAACTTTGGATTCCAAAACCACCTCTCTAACATCAACAACTGATGCATCAACCACAACTCAGTCTGACACCACAACAACTACTGCTGCAACAACAGCTTTGACATCCACAACCTCCCCTACAACATCCTCAACTTTAGCGTCTGTGTCAACAACATCAGATGCAGCAACCACAAGTATGCCTGACACCACATCAACTACTGATGCAACAACAACTTTGACTTCCACAACCACCCCTCCAGCATCCTCAGCTACAGTACCAACATTGACGACTAATAGACCAATAACAACTATGCCTGACACCACAAAAAATACTAATGCAACAGCCACAACTCTGTCTGACACAACAACAACTACTGATGGAACAACAACTTTGGCTTCCACAACTTCCCCTCAAACAACCTCAACAATAGCACCAGCATCAACAACTGATGCAGCAAACACAACTCTGTCTGACAGCACAACAACTATTGATGCAACATCAACGTTGACAGCAAAAACCTCCCCTACAACATCCTCAACTCTAACACCAGTGTCAACAACATTAGATACAGCAACCACGAGTATGCCTGACATCACAACAACTATTGATGCAACAACTTTGACTTCCACAACCACCCCTCCAGCATCCTCAGCTACAGTACCAACATCGACGACTAATAGACCAATAACAACTATGCCTGACAACACAGAAACTAGTGAAGCAACAACAAGTTTGGATTCCACAACCACCCCTCTAACATCAACAACTGATGCATCAACCACAACTGTGCCTGAAACCAAAACAACTACTGATGCAAAAACAACTTTGGCTGCCACAACCACATTTCAGACATCATCAACTGTGGCACCAACATCAACAACATCTGATGCAGCAACAAGTGTGCCTGACACCACTAAAACTATTGATGCAACAACTTTGACTTCCACAACCACCCCTCCAACATCCTCAGCAACAGTACCAACATTGATGACTAATATATCAACAGCATCTATGCCTGACACCACAGAAACTAGTGAAGCAACAAAAACTTTGGATTTCACAACCACCCCTCTAACATCAACAACTGATGCATCAACCACATGCATCAACCACAACTGTGCCTGATACCACAGGAACTACTGACTCAACAACAACTTTGGCTGCCACAACCACCTTTCCAACATCATCAACTCTGGCACCAACATCAACAACATCTGATGCAGCAACCACAACTCTGTCCGACACCACAACAACAATTGATGAAACAACAAACAACAACTATGCCTGACACCTCAGAAACTACTGATGCAACAACTTTGGATTCCACAGCCACCCCTCTAACATCAACAACTGATGCAGCAACCACAACTCTGTCCGACACCACAACAACAATTGATGAAACAACAAACAACAACTATGCCTGACACCTCAGAAACTACTGATGCAACAACTTTGGATTCCACAGCCACCCCTCTAACATCAACAACTGATGCAGCAACCACAACTCTGTCCGACACCACAACAACAATTGATGAAACAACAAACAACAACTATGCCTGACACCTCAGAAACTACTGATGCAACAACTTTGGATTCCACAGCCACCCCTCTAACATCAACAACTGATGCAGCAACCACAACTCTGTCCGACACCACAACAACAATTGATGAAACAACAAACAACAACTATGCCTGACACCTCAGAAACTACTGATGCAACAACTTTGGATTCCACAGCCACCCCTCTAACATCAACAACTGATGCAGCAACCACAACTCTGTCCGACACCACAACAACAATTGATGAAACAACAAACAACAACTATGCCTGACACCTCAGAAACTACTGATGCAACAACTTTGGATTCCACAGCCACCCCTCTAACATCAACAACTGATGCAGCAACCACAACTCTGTCCGACACCACAACAACAATTGATGAAACAACAAACAACAACTATGCCTGACACCTCAGAAACTACTGATGCAACAACTTTGGATTCCACAGCCACCCCTCTAACATCAACAACTGATGCAGCAACCACAACTCTGTCCGACACCACAACAACAATTGATGAAACAACAAACAACAACTATGCCTGACACCTCAGAAACTACTGATGCAACAACTTTGGATTCCACAGCCACCCCTCTAACATCAACAACTGATGCAGCAACCACAACTCTGTCCGACACCACAACAACAATTGATGAAACAACAAACAACAACTATGCCTGACACCTCAGAAACTACTGATGCAACAACTTTGGATTCCACAGCCACCCCTCTAACATCAACAACTGATGCAGCAACCACAACTCTGTCCGACACCACAACAACAATTGATGAAACAACAAACAACAACTATGCCTGACACCTCAGAAACTACTGATGCAACAACTTTGGATTCCACAGCCACCCCTCTAACATCAACAACTGATGCAGCAACCACAACTCTGTCCGACACCACAACAACAATTGATGAAACAACAAACAACAACTATGCCTGACACCTCAGAAACTACTGATGCAACAACTTTGGATTCCACAGCCACCCCTCTAACATCAACAACTGATGCAGCAACCACAACTCTGTCCGACACCACAACAACAATTGATGAAACAACAAACAACAACTATGCCTGACACCTCAGAAACTACTGATGCAACAACTTTGGATTCCACAGCCACCCCTCTAACATCAACAACTGATGCAGCAACCACAACTCTGTCCGACACCACAACAACAATTGATGAAACAACAAACAACAACTATGCCTGACACCTCAGAAACTACTGATGCAACAACTTTGGATTCCACAGCCACCCCTCTAACATCAACAACTGATGCAGCAACCACAACTCTGTCCGACACCACAACAACAATTGATGAAACAACAAACAACAACTATGCCTGACACCTCAGAAACTACTGATGCAACAACTTTGGATTCCACAGCCACCCCTCTAACATCAACAACTGATGCAGCAACCACAACTCTGTCCGACACCACAACAACAATTGATGAAACAACAAACAACAACTATGCCTGACACCTCAGAAACTACTGATGCAACAACTTTGGATTCCACAGCCACCCCTCTAACATCAACAACTGATGCAGCAACCACAACTCTGTCCGACACCACAACAACAATTGATGAAACAACAAACAACAACTATGCCTGACACCTCAGAAACTACTGATGCAACAACTTTGGATTCCACAGCCACCCCTCTAACATCAACAACTGATGCAGCAACCACAACTCTGTCCGACACCACAACAACAATTGATGAAACAACAAACAACAACTATGCCTGACACCTCAGAAACTACTGATGCAACAACTTTGGATTCCACAGCCACCCCTCTAACATCAACAACTGATGCAGCAACCACAACTCTGTCCGACACCACAACAACAATTGATGAAACAACAAACAACAACTATGCCTGACACCTCAGAAACTACTGATGCAACAACTTTGGATTCCACAGCCACCCCTCTAACATCAACAACTGATGCAGCAACCACAACTCTGTCCGACACCACAACAACAATTGATGAAACAACAAACAACAACTATGCCTGACACCTCAGAAACTACTGATGCAACAACTTTGGATTCCACAGCCACCCCTCTAACATCAACAACTGATGCAGCAACCACAACTCTGTCCGACACCACAACAACAATTGATGAAACAACAAACAACAACTATGCCTGACACCTCAGAAACTACTGATGCAACAACTTTGGATTCCACAGCCACCCCTCTAACATCAACAACTGATGCAGCAACCACAACTCTGTCCGACACCACAACAACAATTGATGAAACAACAAACAACAACTATGCCTGACACCTCAGAAACTACTGATGCAACAACTTTGGATTCCACAGCCACCCCTCTAACATCAACAACTGATGCAGCAACCACAACTCTGTCCGACACCACAACAACAATTGATGAAACAACAAACAACAACTATGCCTGACACCTCAGAAACTACTGATGCAACAACTTTGGATTCCACAGCCACCCCTCTAACATCAACAACTGATGCAGCAACCACAACTCTGTCCGACACCACAACAACAATTGATGAAACAACAAACAACAACTATGCCTGACACCTCAGAAACTACTGATGCAACAACTTTGGATTCCACAGCCACCCCTCTAACATCAACAACTGATGCAGCAACCACAACTCTGTCCGACACCACAACAACAATTGATGAAACAACAAACAACAACTATGCCTGACACCTCAGAAACTACTGATGCAACAACTTTGGATTCCACAGCCACCCCTCTAACATCAACAACTGATGCAGCAACCACAACTCTGTCCGACACCACAACAACAATTGATGAAACAACAAACAACAACTATGCCTGACACCTCAGAAACTACTGATGCAACAACTTTGGATTCCACAGCCACCCCTCTAACATCAACAACTGATGCAGCAACCACAAATCCTCAGCTTCAGTACCAACATCGACGACTAATAAACCAACATCTACTATGTCTGACACCACAGAAACTAGTGTTGCAACAACAACATTGGATTCCACAACCACCTTTCCAACATCATCAACTGTGGCACCAACATCAACAACATCTGATGCAGCAACCACAAGTATGCCTGACACCACAAAAACTTCTGATGCAACAACAACGAACTACTGATGCAACAACAACTTTGGCTGCCACAACCACCTTTCAGACATCATCAACTGTGGCACTAACATCAACAACATCTGATGCAGCAACCACAAGTATACCTGACACCACAACAACTATAGATGCAACAACAACTTTGACTTCCACAACCACGTCTCCAATATCCTCAGCTACAGTACCAACATCGACTACTAATGAACCAACAACAACTATGCCTGACACCACAAAAACTACTGATGGAACAACAACTTTGGATTCCACAGCCACCCCTCTAACATCAACAACTGATGCAAAAACCACAACTCTGTCTGACACCACAACAACTACTGATGGAACAACAGCTTTGGCTTCCACAACCACCCCTCAAACAGCCTCAACAACAGCACCAGCATCAACAACTGATGCATCAACCAGAACTGTGCCTGATACCACAGGAACTACTGACTCAACAACAACTTTGGCTTTCATATCTACTGCACCAACATCCTCAACTATAGCACCAGTGTCAACAACTGATGCAGCAT